AATAAGGACGATCGTAGTGAAAATCGTCAAGAAACTGTGGAAAGGGAGGATCAAAAAAAAAACAAATGGGAATACATATGAATAAAAACGAAAGAGAGTAGGTAGCAAGGGAAGTCGATTAAAAAATAAAAGCGGGTGGGGGGGTGCAGGGGGGAGGGCGCAGCGCCTCAAATAATTCAATATCAGGCTGCAGTTTTTTCCTATGTAATTATGTGAGCATTTCCGCCGTTTGCAATGTATATAATATCCAACAAAACTATTTAGACAGACCCCTTCCATTCTACATGTTCACAAGGTGCATGTTGTGCATTTCATACACCCTGAGACCACATTGAAACTACAGCATTGCATGTGAGAATAGGTATTGTCATTCTGCTTGCTTATATGCACACATTGCGCCCTTAACCTTCAGCCTAAAACCATCGAGAGGTCGATGAACACCAAGAATTCGATATGACAATCAAAGAAATCGATAAGCACCATCGAACAAATCGACAAAAAACATGAACAAATCTGTGCAACCATGGAAAAATCACCAAAATCGATGAAGAGTATTCAGACATCGTTGAAACCCATGGGAAAATGGGTGAAAACCAAAATGTTGCAAATACCATCCAAATTGGCGATTTCAGCTTCCCAAATTTGTGATTTTAGCTCCGAAATGCCGCACATACATAGCATGCAAATGAGAGATTTTACTCCAAAATTCCTCAAATAGCACGCAAATGAGATATTTTAGCTCCAAAATGCAGCAAATAGCAAACACACAATGTTTTTTTGGAGCATATAGCAAGGAAAATTGCCCCAACTGAAAAAACAACATCCAAAAATCAAAACGATATTTTTCTAAAAATGAACCCTTTGAATCAGCAATGATGTTTGGGTATGATTGGTATATTGGTACCATTTTAAATCATCATATTATTCAGCCAATTTTTTTCCTGTCGTGAGGTCCGCCCTGTTGTGCCTTGCCACCTTCGTGGTGACGCGCTTCATTGATGCGGCCTTCGTGGCACCCAAGGGCGCGTCTCCGTGCCACGTCGGGACGTTCCCCATCTTTTAAGTAGTTACTGTATTCAATACTTTTTCCGTTTGGAACATGTTTTTTTGATAAATTTTTGAAGCACATTGATTTTTTAGTATTGAAGCACCATATATCACCAAATTATATATTATTCGACAATTAAAACACAATCCTGTCAAGGGTGCTGATTTTGAGTTATATTCACTTGGAGGGTCTGAGAGATTTCGCCATTTTGGGAAAACTCACTTTCGGAAAGCTCACTTTCGAGGGGCAAGTAGTGGTTCAATTCAACTTAAGTGATGTTTAGGAGAGGAAATAGAAGCACCCTGATTCACCGTGCTTCACCTGGCTGTAGATTTTGGGGCTTCGGGATGGCAATCAACTTGACAGTCTTTTTTCAAGGCTTACTTTTGGCTCTTGAGAACAATCTGAGACCCCAAACCCTGATTTGGGTGAAGAGTTCGTAGACATTTTTGGTATGGGTGGCAAAAAATTGTTACTCTTCAAGAGGATGGGATGGCATCCGACTAAACATCATTTCCAAACTGGCATGGCATACTTTTTGCCGTGAAAAATCCGACGTGACTCTGCCAAGCCATACCATCCTATAAAACATCTTGCTCAGCTCATATGGTCTATGAAAATGCATCCCCAAGTTTTCCAGCAATGTGTGAGATTTCAAACGCCTGAAATTTGAGGTTTAGGGCATTGGGTGCACATGAGCCAAGATAATATGGACAGCCCAATAGAGCAACCATCATTCGGGGTCTAGGGCATCGGATTTACCACTACCACCATTGAACCATCCCCAGTGAAGCCCATTGAAGCCCCAAAAACCCTGGAACTCCCCAGGAAAGGATCTTAAAACGATTCAAAAGTCAGCAACTTGGATGATGTGGGGTCTCCCCCATGACAACGTCTCAGGTCTCGTCAGGAGCTGACTGCCCTGCAGGCACGGGGTGGTGGTGAGTACGACATCAGCACCTCGGTAAGATCCGCTGGGGGGTTGCGGCTTTTAGCAAGATGGGTTATGCTTAGCAATCTAAGAAAAGATGGGGGATGGCAGTTGATTGTTGGAATTTCGGAGTTTAGCAGCAGATTCAAAATTTTTGGGTTGCAAATCATCCTGATGTAGTGCTGGTTTTTCCAGCTGATCAAAAGTACGCTAGTTGAAAGCGAACAGGACATGTGCCACATATCTGAGTGGCAGTTACAGACTTTAAAGAACTCTGAAAAGCCCAGGTGTTTTCAGGTCGCATTTGCCGAGTTGCCATTGCCTGACCATTTTACTTGCTATTAGGTTACCCCAAGTCCTGGATGTTCCCATTTGGAACTGGATGATATGAAATATTGCTACTTTATACCGTGTACATCCATGTACCATGATTAAACCCATATCTTATCTTATTCTCACATTCTAGATTAGAATTCACTACTAGCCATGCTAACCTACTCTAACCTAACCATCCCAAGCCCTTCGACCCCTGGGTCCAAGGCGATGCCGACATCCAGAACTTCTACAACAGCCTGCTGACGGGCGCGGGAGGTGATCCACCCAAGGTGACCCAAGGGGGGGTTGGGATGGCGATGGGTCACCCATGACTCAAAGATTTGACGTAAGCCGTTTGGGCTTAACTGGTTGAACACATGGCTAGGATGGGCCACAACAAGACCACAACATGTCGCATTGACGCATTGGCAATTTTGATGGGAACTGGTGGATTCTTCCACCGGTTTCTGCAAGCCAGTGGACAGGGGTTGACTCAGCGACGAGACGACATATCGAATTCTGCAGGGCACCGTGCTGTCCGAGCTCATCGTGAAGTTCTTCCACGGTGACTTCACTCCTCAGGGCTTCAAGCGCTACTCCGGGCTCTGGAAGGGACCACCTCCAGGCAACATCGGCAAGAAGGCATGGGGGGATGAGACAGAGGTATCAGGGAAGATTTGTTTTTGGTGAATCTGCAAAGCATTTGAGCATTTGAACAGTTTGATGTGTTGGAGCAGTTGATGCTTGAAACCACGAAGGACAATATCATATTTCTATATATTTCTATCTTACTTAGAGAGTGGAACCAGATTGAGGCTGCCTTTGAGGTGTGCAAATGCGATCTCACGGATATTTTTCCTTTTTTGAGTACTTTGTGCAGGACATTGCCGTGGGTGTTGCAAAGTTGAAGGAGCAGATGGCCAACCCAATGCCTTTTGGTATGCTGGAGTTTAGCTGTGTTTATGCAACTGCTTGTCTCACCAGCTCAGTTTGATGTTGTGCTTTGTTTCTTGCAGCCATAGCTTGCTTGCTCAGCCAGAATCCTTTGTACTTCGGGTGGAACTCGGCGTTGATGACCGAGGTTTGTGACCAAGGCTGGCGTTGGTTACGGCGTGGATGAGATGCAGAAGGCGGCCCCCCATTTCCCACCAGGGAAAGTATGTGAATCAGTTGGCCAAAGTGAACATAACTTCAGCATACTTTAAGCGCATGTCGGGTGCAGGTTGAGGATGACGGCAAGGGCTGGGTGTGGCTGGCTGCCGAGATGAGCCCCGGCGGCCTGGCCGTGGAGCTCTTCAAGTCCGTGCCCTACGGCAAGCGCGCCATCCTGGTGGCCAAGCAGAGCAACGTGGACGAGCTCTTCCAGAAGGTAGGAATGAGCGTTGCATTTGATGCAGTGGCTTCCAGAGGGTACAAGGGTTGGTTAGAATTCGAGGGCTGCAGCCCTGATCCTTTCGTTTGCATCATGTTTGATTGTAACTTTGAGAATTGTCTTCAATGGACACACCTCATTTGATCTCATTGCGCTTCGCCAAGTTTCGCTGCAAAGGTGAACTGGGACACAGCCTTGGCCAACATTGAGGTGACGTTCGGTGGACCTCAGGCAGGAAGCACTTGCCATTTTGTTCAATCTATTCAATCTACAGTATCTACATTTAGCTACTTTATGTGTATGAAAATATCCAAACTCAACCAAGGCCACTGTGGAATTTTCCCCGACTTTTAGCTTGACACTTGACACCAGCCGCCAGGTGAAGCAGCGCTAGGCGCCACGGATTCCACGGATCCCACGTTTCCCACGGATCCCACGGGCCCTGTGGGCCCTGGTGCCGATTCTTTTGAAACCTTTTGGGTACCCAAGCGATGTGATCTAAGCAGACCTTTTGGAGACCTGTCAGATCGATCTTGACTGGGCATCTTGTGTACCCAAGGTTTTGATGAATTCTCCTATTAAAAAACATCCAGCCTGCAGACAAAAAAGAAGCTGGTGAACTCGAAGAAGCAATTTGCAGTGGAAAGTCGCCTTATTTCTGAATCAAACTGAAACCTCATGGTGTAGTCTTGCGGAAAAGCCGACTAAGATATCAACCACTTTGCAGCCATTTCCCCAGCTGACCCGCCGCTTCAACTCCCACGCTTCGACATGATGCGCTCCTCCAACCGTCTTTTGGTGTCACTGGGCTGCAAAGCTGACTGCAAGGGTTTTGTGGGAGTCTCCATGGTTTCTAAATCCGTTTGACGTTCTTTGTTTCAGAAAGTATTATAATCACATATAATCACATATAGTCGCTATAACATGTGGGTTTCTTAAGTCACCAGTGAGGATCCCCAGTCGTCACCATAGCCGTAGCCTATACAGTGGTCACTTGGAAGGATGGAAAGATCATCGGCATCATCAATTAATTCTACATTGAGACAATAACTGAGACAATAACTGATCACATTAAGAAAGACCTTTTGGCTTTGGGCAATTGTTATCAATGATTCACATTGCAGTTCTAGTTATATGATGTTATATGCAAGTTGTGTCACTGAAAACTTTTCAAACCGTACTGATATGAGTATGAAAAACATCAAGGTGCAATACACGTGCCTTCGAAAAAATGTCGGTCCAAAGACTGGCACCCTTGTTTTTCCATCGAAATGGCTGGTAGCTGTAGATGTTTCTTCCCATATCTTATTGATAGCTGTTGATTCATCCCCAGATGTTTCATCCCATTGTTTATCATCATTGCTCCAATTTTAAAGGCAGTTTCGAGCTCATTGTGCCAATTTCATCAAATACTCTTTTTCCAATTATAATTTGTCGAAAACAACTGCTGTTTGCCATTTCATCACTACTTCTAACTTCGGATCCATCAGGGATCAAACCGTCCTTACTTTAAACTTTAATGGTAAAATCAACCTTTTTGATGTTTAAATTCCAATTTATAGCGGGGTTGCTCCAACCTATTAGGGGTAAATTGGTAATATTGCTCCTTTCTTTACCAAATTTTCCTTCCTTGTAGCTTCCATTGATGATTTTCCCATTCAAATCAAATTTATCCAGGATTTTCAATTGCCATGCTTGATGACCAGAGGGCAATAGCTTTGGATCCATCCACAAATTTGAGCAGTGTCAAAAACCCATTGGTTCGTTTCTACTATTGGGGTTCTACTAACCAGTTCAGAAGGGATCAGCCAACAGTTCATGATTCGAATGGCTATGTTCACAAACCATGTTCGTAAACGACCAATTTCGATACATGTTTGTGAACGCATGCTATATAATGCTATATATACTAGTATAGCTACGGGGACTTGCCCTGCCAACATGGATCAGATGGGGAATTCCGAGGTCGGCCCTGCTGTGCCTTGGTGCCTTCACTATGACGCGCTACATCACCGCCTTCGTGGCGCCCAGGCTGGTTGGGGGTCTTAGGACACAACGAAGGTCACGATTTTCGACATTTTGATGTACCATCTGGTTATTTAACATAGCCATGGAAAATGGCCCATTTATAGATGGTTTACCTATTACAAATGGTGATTTTCCATGGCTATGTTAAATAACCAGATGGTATAATATGTAATTATATATATAATTTTATACTATATGTCTATTTAGAAGCAACATGTGATTCTGATAATCATGAGAATAATATATAGAATAATGATAATGATAATAATCACCATACTCGTAAGAATCATGATCATAAATGCTGAGGATAATCACGATGACAAAAATAATTAGTAAACACACACACATATGTATATAATGTAATATACACATACCTATGTGAAGACATAAGGATATATTCATACGTAATGATGATCACTATATATATATGGTTACATACAGTACATACTTTTTATACGCATACACATGACGTGACTAGACGATATGATCTATACCTGGCAATCATGCCATTGTACTGCACGTGGTTCGTCAGGCTTTCTTCGCCGGCCACCACATCACCCCTTGCGTTGCAAGCTCGTGGTGGCGGTGAATATGACATCAGTCCCTGGTCGGACTTGATGGGTTTGTCCCTTGAGCATTGGCAACCAGTCATCAAAAAACATATAGGGATACAGGGATACCACGGATACCATCAACAATCCAGTTACTACCATATTTGGGGAATAAGCATCCATAAACAAGCTATGACTTGGGTACTACTGTTGATAGGGTACCATTATTTTGACCCAAGAATCCTGTTGATGCAGCCCTTGGAGAGCTGATGCTGCCACAGGTGATGCTGACATCCAGAACTTCTATAACAGCTTGTTGACTGGTGCGGGTGGCGACCCTCCAAAGGCTCAACTGTCTTGGCACTGGCTGGAATCACTGGAACGTTCTGGCGACAGGGGCATTTGGAAATGCGAACAACTGAATGGAAGGATGAAGTGACTGGAATTTCCCCCCTAGCCCTGCTGAAAAAGTGTTTCCTGCCAGGGCACCGTGCTGTCCGAGCTCATCGTGAAGTTCTTCCACGGTGACTTCACTCCTCAGGGCTTCAAGCGCTACTCCGGGCTCTGGAAGGGACCACCTCCAGGCAACATCGGCAAGAAGGCACGGGGGGATGAGACAGAGAACATCAATTGTGATGATTGTGGACGTTGGCGACAAGGAAAATCTCTAAATCCAGTGAGTATTTCCCATATCCAGTGAGTATTTCCCATATATTTCACTGGACTCGTCCAACCCTCCAAAATCCAGGGCCAAATCCGGCTGATTTTCCCGGTTCAGGACATCGCCGTGGGTGTGGCCAAGTTGAAGGAGCAGATGGCAAACCCCATGTACCTTGGAGCAGTGCATGTCCTTTCCCCACCTGGTGGTTCATGAAAAAAGGCTTCCCCTCATTCAACAGTGGTAGATGATGGTAGATGATGGTAGATGATGGTAGATGACATGTTTTCCTCAAAGGATAGTGTTGATTGGTATGTCTCGGGGGAAGGATGGTACTATTGGATACGATTGGTAGAATGGTACACGGGTCTACGTGAGGATGAGCCCTGGTGAGTGAATGAGTTCGAAAATGTGTTTTGCTTTATCCAAACGGCTCTACCCCACAATCCACTGGTCAATCATCACTTTTGGGATGTATTGGTGGTACTTCTTCATATGTTCAGACCCAGATGTGGCTAGATAATCATGTACTGCCCACTAACAACACCCATGATGGGGGTTATGCCGCCTCCATTTTCAGACTCAGATTTCTGCTGAGTCAATGTTTGTTCCACCTGAGGTTTGTCACCAAGGCTGGTGTTGGCTACGGTGTGGATGAGATGCAGAAGGCAGCGATTCTGTCTGCTTCAAGTTGCTCATGTTGGAATGGGGTCCTAGTTATTTCTTCCAAACTGGATGGTTGAACCATAGGTTCCCGGGTTCCCGTAGACATTGATTCATATTGGCTCCAAATTTCATCAATTCCCCGTGGTAATCACTGGCCAGCCAGGTGGAGGATGACAGCAAGGGCTGGGTGTGGCTGGCTGCCGAGATGAGCCCCGGTGGCCTGGCCGTGGAGCTCTTCAAGTCCGTGCCCTACGGCAAGCGCGCCATCCTGGTGGCCAAGCAGAGCAACGTGGACGAGCTCTTCCAGAAGGTAGGAATGAGCTCAAAGGGTGAAGAGAAATGAGGCAAAGTTTGGGGGAGGATACAACTATGATACAACTCTAGATTTATTGTGTAGAAACCATATCTGCGTGGTCACATGCTGCTATTGAAAGTGATGGTGATAGTATTTTGAATGGTAGATCAGACAGGCCCAACAGGAACACCTTAAGGGAAACCTCTTTGAAATCGACACGAAGTGCCCAACAATTTCCTTGAACACCTCTTTCATCTGCTATTCTGAGTACCAGTAATAAGTAATACCCATACTTTTCCTTTACACTAATCCATTGAATGTCGGCAAGATTGACATGGCCGGCAGTATGAATGATGTCCTTCCTCTGCTGGAGTGTATTGATAGGCGTTGACAAGATGATCAGTGGCGAACCAAATTTTGCTTTCTTTTTTTGGGAATTGTTGTACCAAAGAGGTCCCCGAAAAGATGGAAACAGGTGCATACAACACATACAAGGATTATATACATCTAGATTTGTCCACAGAAACAGGAAGAACTTTTGAAATCTTGGGCTTCTCCCGGAGGGTTTCTAAGCCAGGTGAATTGGGACACGGCCTTGGCCAACATTGAGGTGACCTTCGGTGGGCCGCAGGCATGGTTTTGAAGGACAATCATGTGTGGAATTACAGATTGTGCATGATTTTGCCATCTTTTCCAACCCCCAAATCATACTAGTTTCATCTAACTAAATTATGTTCATCTTCACCTTTACCATGCCTTCTCAAACATGGGGGATTCAACGAATTTCCAAGTGATGCCTGGAATTTTCCCACAGATTTCTGGCCTAAAAACGGTAGATGTCTAACCGGCCGCAGGTGAAGCAGCGATGAGTGAAGTACGGATGGGCGGCTCGCTGCAGAGAATCGTGGCGTGACCAAGTCAACTCTCATCTTTGACTCTCATGGCAATTTTTGGAAAAGATCTGGAAAAGATTGGAAAAATGGAAAATAATGTGGAAAAAACACATGACACAATTTTTTTTTGTCTTTCCGGAAATCATGTGCTAAAACCTAGCATTCTTACGTACTATTTTTGGAAAACACACTTCCATTGTTCTTCTTGTCAGAACCACTGTTGGGCTAGTAGCTGCTACAAGTGCGGTGAATCATTTTTCACATCTGATTGATCAAAGTTTTGCCACCTTTGGATCTTGTGCCGTGTTTTCTTCAAGATGCAACATATGGATGATTACGACCTTCGCATATTTGCAGCATGTGTGATGTGTGGATGCAGTTTGGGGGATGAGTCAATAACGGATTCGTGGACCTGGTACGTTGGGATCCTGCTGCGTGCTGTGGCACTTTCAAACACGTCCCTGAGATGCTACGGCGCTGTAGCGTTGAAGGTAGACGCAATGCGTTGGCCGCTGCCTTGGCAAATATAGGGAAAGTAGGAAAAGATGTTGAATTGTGTTCATTTCCTTTCCATGTATACAGAAACTGTGCGAACTTCCCTTGGATGTTAAATAAAGGCTGCCGCCCCTGCCGCCGACCCCGAAAAGTTGGGCAGTCTGCCTGTGATCAGGCCAAGCAGCAAAACAGCACCTAATTGCGTGCCGAAACCATGCTCAAACTTACCCACAAAAACTCCCTAACGTCACGTCCCTTCTGAATTCCTAGAAAAAAATCTCTTTTTCTGTCTCCTGCAGCTGTTGTTTGGTGGCTCCAAGCTGCAAGCATCAGGCCTCCAGAACGGACCCTTCGCCACAGCAAAACAGCACCTAATTGCGTGCCGAAACCCAAGCTGCAAGCATCAGGCTTCCAGAAGGGACCCTTCGCCACAGCAAAACAGCACCTAATTGCGTGCCAAAACCGTGCTCAAACTTACCCACAAAAAGTGCCTATCGTCCCTTCTGAATTCCTAGAAAAAATATCTTTTTTGTCTCCTGCAGCTGTTGTTTGGCGGCTCCAAGCTGCAAGCATCAGGCTTCCAGAAGGGACCCTTCGCCACAGCAAAACAGCACCTAATTGCGTGCCGAAACCGTACTCAAACTTACCCACAAAAACTGCCTAACGTCCCTTCTGAATTCCTAGAAAAAATATCTCTTTTTTTGTCTCCTGCAGCTGTTGTTTGGCACAGCAAAACAGCACCTAATTGCGTGCCAAAACCGTGCTCAAACTTACCCACAAAAAGTGCCTATCGTCCCTTCTGAATTCCTAGAAAAAATATCTTTTTCTGTCTCCTGCAGCTGTTGTTGGGTGGCTCCAAGCTGCAAGCATCAGGCCTCCAGAAGGGACCCTTCGCCACAGCGAAACAGCACCTAATTGCGTGCCGAAACCGTACTCAAACTTACCCACAAAAACTGCCTAACACCCCTTCTGAATGCCTAGAAAAAATATATATCTTTTTTGTCTCCTGCAGCTGTTTGGTGGCTCCAAGCTGCAAGCATCAGGCTTCCAGAAGGGACCCTTCGCCACAGCAAAACAGCACCTAATTGCGTGCCGAAACCGTGCTCAAACTTACCCACAAAAAGTGCCTATCGTCCCTTCTGAATTCCTAGAAAAAATATATATCTTTTTTGTCTCCTGCAGCTGTTTGGTGGCTCCAAGCTGCAAGCATCAGGCTTCCAGAAGGGACCCTTCGCCACAGCAAAACAGCACCTAATTGCGTGCCGAAACCGTGCTCAAACTTACCCACAAAAAGTGCCTATCGTCCCTTCTGAATTCCTAGAAAAATATATATCTTTTTTGTCTCCTGCAGCTGTTTGGTGGCTCCAAGCTGCAAGCATCAGGCCTCCAGAACGGACCCTTCGCCACAGCAAAACAGCACCTGATTCCTGACGGACGAACTAGCTCGAGAATCGCACCAAAAAAGTCTCCAACGTCGCTTCTGAAACCCATAGAAAATGATGATTTTGGCTACTTTTGTCTTCTGCTGCTGAAGAGGTGTTGCTCACCTACAAAGACACCAGTTTCTTGCCGCTGCTGCTGCTACTGCTACTGCTGCACGCCCCTTCTCCTGCTGGTGTGCTCTAGTGCTGCTGCTGCTGCCTTACTGGCTGCGGGCTGCTGCTGCTACAAGCCCCTTCTCCTGCTGGTGTGCTAGTGCTGCTGCTACAACTCTAGCTGCTGGCTGCCGACTGCTGCTGCTACAACTCTAGTGCTGCTGCTGCTGCTCCTGCTGCTGCCACTACTGCTGCTGCTGCCTTACTGCCGCTGGCTGCTGGCTGCCGGCTGTTGTTTGGTAGCTCCAAGCCACAGCAAAACAGCACCTAATTGCGTGCCGAAATCGTGCTCAAACTTACCCTACTACTGCTGCTGCTGCCTTACTGCCGCTCGCTGCTGGCTGCCGACTGCTGCCTACTGGCTACTATTGCCGCTGGCTGCTGGCGACTGGCTATGTGCTGTTCTACCCTATAGAATAGAAGTGGTACTAGTCCGAAACAAGGGTCAAATGTCTTATTCCCCGGCGCGCTCCCCCTTGCGTCTGCTGGGGTCGGCGGATATGATTCTCTGCATCCTTCTTTGCATCACACCTAAGTGGCAAATCCTCGCATCACAGAAACAGTGTGTATGTCTATGTCAATGAACTATGTGTGTATACATACGTATGCAATCGTATGTATATAATACAATATATGATATAACAGGTGTATATATATATATATACACGCTTAGAACCAATATATATATATGATGCAATATGTTTTTATATATATATATGCATATATATATATATGCATTAACATATATATATATGTATATGTACATGTCTATGTATATGTATACACACGCACATGTATTTATACACCTTTATACCTAAGCAGGCAAACACATTTTTCTTCATTCGACCCATAGTCTTCACAGAAGGCGTGACAGAACTTGTATTGGATGGCCAAAATTGGCAAACAGTTTCCACGCAAAACTGTTCTGTGAGGAATATCAGTTTGACGCCGCGGCAGCGGGATGCGATTTTGAAATCCTTTAAATTTGATATCAAATTATGATGTTTCTCCGCATGAACAAACATGCATTCAAGCGCTACCCGAAGGTAAAAGTGGCCATAGATGTTGCTGCAGTGTCCATGCCAACTTGCTCGGTATTGACGCAACTGAGACGCCGCAGATTTAATGGAGTGTATCTACGCAAGTCTATGTTTTGCTACGTTTTCAACTTTGTTCGGCTCAAAATCCAGTATCAAACAAGTTAGATGTTTGCAAACCTCCAGCTACATCCATGTTAATGTCCTGTCATCATGTCGCCTTCGGATATTTTGACGCTTGCCACGCTTGCTGCCTTGCTGTTGCCAGTCTACGGACACCGGGACCGGCATGAAGGGACCACCCGACAGTGGAGTTTGAGCCCCTTGGCCATGGGTTAAAGACAAATGTCTCAGTCGAAATTGAAGCTCCTGAAAAAACAGTCTGTTCTTACCAGAATAAATGATTCGTAGCTTCTCATTTCAGCTGCAGCTTTGGACTTATATATTTATATATAACTATATATACAACTGTATATATATATACTATATATACTATATATATACTATATATACTATATATATACTATATATATACTATATATATACTATATATATAGTATATATATACTATATATATATACTATATATATATATTATATATATATACTATATATATACTATATATATACTATATATATACTATATATATACTATATATATATAACTATATATATATATAATTATAGATATAACTATATATATAACAATATATATATATATAACTATATATATATATATCTGTAACTATATATATATATCTGTAACTATATATATATAACTATATATATATATGTAACTACATATATATGTAACTATATATATGTAACTGTATATATATATGTAACTATATATATATATGTATGTAACTATATATATATGTAATTATATATATATGTACCTATATATATATGTGTAACTATATATATATGTATGTAACTATATATATATATATGTAATTATATATATATATGTAACTATATATATATATGTGAAAATATATGTATATATATATTTGTAACTATATATATAGCTATATATATATGTAACTATATATATATATGTAACTATATATATATATGTATATGTAACTATATATATATGTAATTATATATATATGTAAATATATATATATATATATGAAACTATATGTATATATATATATATATATTCATCCTCACAGGCCTCTTATATATATATTCATCCTCACAGGCCTCTTAATTCACAGATGAAAAAACTGCTGTCATGGATGTCTTGTTTATCGTATTTTTTTTCCACTGAGTTCTTTGTTTCTGGTACCATGGGATACAGTCCTCGCCCAGGTGAGACAGTCAGCTTCAGCTCGCCGGAGTTCCTAAAGCTTCTGCCAGAGATGGATGAGAAGATGGTTCCCATCGATCATGCCAAGGTGAGCGATGAACAAAATAGCCCTGTTGATGGATTCTAAGAACTAGGGGCTTATGTTTCCTGGTTTTTTGAGCACTATGACTATGACAAGCCATAGATTCCATAGATAGGGATACCTAGGGGGGTTACATTCACAGGAATGGGATGGGAAAACGGGGTATTTCTGGGTCAGGTGCCAGATGAAGTGTGCCTTGAAATGGTGGAAGCCCTTGCGAATGCCCACTGGAAGATGAAACGTCCGGGGATCATCCACACTGGCATCATCCTAGCAGAAGGACTGGCTCGTCTTTTTCAGGAAAGGATTGCGGGATCTGGTTAGATTGGCTAGATTGGTTAGATGTTGGTTGTGGAAAGCAGGGTGGCAACTGGTGGAGCTTGAATGTAAATTCGCCGGCAGTAGATATTCCACGATGTTCCCATGGCTTCGTCGGGGTATCCCATGGTATCTAGTCGAATCCAGTGCCATGCCCAAGGAGCAGAGATCGATCCCGGTTGGGTGGACAGCGTTCGGAAGCTGCGCTTGTTGCCTCTGTCCTTCCTTGCGACACAAAGCCTGGAGACGCTGAACATTTGACCAGGGTTTTTTGAGCAAGTCTTCTATGAGCTGCAATCCGCCATGTGTGAAATCAAATACTCTAGGTTTTTAAGTTTTCAAGTAGGTGGAAACTCATGCATGAGATGAGACGTCCCCCAAAAATCCAGAAGGTTGATCTTGGGACTTTTTCGATCTTTCTCATTGGAAGAAAAAAATGACCTGAGGAATGTGAAGTTGTACTTTTGGGCCAACGTGGAAGGAACGCATCCCTTGATCCAAGAGATATTTGGTCCACTCATGGGGCAGTACGGCAAGTACATTGAAATCAAGAAATTTGATGCCTCTGCAGAGATCAAAAAGGTCTGTAGCCATTATGAGTCTGAAAAGAGCACGGGAGAATTGAATCTTGGCAAGACATTTGGCTCCAGAAACTTAAGGTACAATTTGCTTTGAGCAGTTTGGGGGACGACCTCTGTAGCTGCTGCAAAAGCTTTCATGTTTTTAGAGGCTGTGTTTGATATCTGGTCCAAAGGACTGCAGAACTGGTGAAAATCTACGAGTCGCAAAGCATCGTGGCTTCCAAGTCTGACTTGATGCGTGCTATCCTTCTGTATAACTATGGAGGTGCATGGATGGACAGTGATGTATTGCTGGTGCAAAACCTGGCTCCAATGCTGGAAGAGGACTGGGCAGTGTTGATGTATGCAGACTTTGTCAATCCGGCAGCTTTGCTGCGCAAAGTGAGAGACTGTGAAGGGTACCATGGAATGGTCATAAAGCCGCACAAATTTAATAAATCGGGATATAACCTCTCTCACTCTGGTTATATATCCACCTACACCTAGAACTGCAGCCTGAAGCATGGTCAAAGTTAGTGGCGAGATCGCTGCTAGCGCAGAGCCAAGGCGACCCTATCGGTCTCACGGCCTGGTTCACCTTTTATTACAGCCTGGATGGGAAACATTTTGGCGCTGGGTGTGAACAAATCATGGGCTGCTTATGGGCCCTTCATGATCACTGACATGACTGCAGAGATTCAGCGCTCTGTTGCCAATGCGACCTGTCACGTCTTGCCACCGTGTTTTTTCGAAGGGGCTCTGAGCAGAGCTGCTCATCAACCTAACCAAGTGGCACCGCTCTGGGACAACTTCTTCAGCCGACTTAATCGATCCCTGCGGAGCCAGGTTGCCTACATCGATCCCAGCACGAAACACTCAACTTTTGGATATCATTGGCACAATCGCTGGAACCAGAAGATCGTGGATGGATCTGTGGCAGCTGAGGCAGAGAAGATGTATTGCAACTTGATGATCTTTCTGTGACATACATTTGTTGATTCTGTTGACGATTTTGTTTGATTTTTTTTGCTGAGGTTGAGAATTTGTGACCTGCTCACTGCTCATCTTTTGTTTTCGAATCCTTTTTTGACATTTTTTCCAATGGGCCAACCATGACGACAACGACGATGACAATGAACATGCTGCTCCAATGTACCCCCAAATAGTTCCAAATAGCTGATTTAATAGGGTCGATGCTGATTAACTGTTGATTCAAATCTTTTCCCAGACAAAACGTTTTTTGTTGGGGGGACTTTGTGCGCTCAAAGCAAGGTAAACGGTTGAACATCTCTCTGAGTTGAGAAGGACAGCTCGTAGGTATGACCGCTGTGGTTTCAGGTCAAAAATAGTCAAAAGTGTGCAGGTTTGTTGGGGACATCGACATATATGTGCTTAAACATTCACACATGAAGGAGTTTTAAAAGAGGGTTATGGGCATTATGGGCTGGAACCTTTGCAGAATGATTCCACTTGGGGAGGTGTAGGCGATAGCCAGCTATGGGCCCCTTTCAATCTTGCAGAAGTGGAGAATTCAGCTTGCTCCAGACATTTTACGAGACTTTGAAAAGAAACTCGTTTGCGCATAAATATTGTTCGTTTGGAGGTTTATTCGATGGCTTTGCTTGACAGGTCACAAGGTATGTCCAAATGTGAACATAGGAAAAAAAACAAAATCAAAGATGGTTGTGCTGACTTTAAGAATTCAACACCCAAAATATTTGCCTGGATTTCCATCAAAATATCAGAAAAATAAAATATAAATATGGAAATAATATTGAAATTTTTAATTCTGAATTTACAAAGGTCCGACCGGACATATTTTTTGATCGATTCGAAATTTGAACAAATTATATTATATTTATTCGAATATTGAAATTGGGAACTGGAACTTACTATGGAACAAAAAAAAATTAATCCTCCTAAAATTAATTTATATCTTTTAATTTCTTAAATATTATTAAAAATATACGATATTAATTTTCTTTTTTAAAATTTAATTAACACAATTATAATTATATATATTATTATATTATTATTACATAAAACGGGACGCCTGTCGAAAAAGTGGGCGCCCCTGTCGGAAACCCGACACTTGTACCCGGAACTGATCCAATACATCATGTAATTATGCCAAAAGTCCCAAATTTTCCAGAAATTTCGGACGAAACCCCTAATTTTCACGGAAATTTGGCGATTTAGGAATTTCCTAAAGTGGCAAATTTTCCGGAAAATTGGTGCTTCGGGATTTTGACTGAACCGCGAAATTTTCCCGAAAATTGGTGCTTCGGGAGGTTGACTCAACCGCGAGTTTTGGCAGAACAACTCGCATCGCAACGAATTTTAGGACAACGGGATGCTTGTCGAAAAAGTGGGCGCTCCGGTCGGAAACCACGTATTTATAGCCGGAATTGATGCAATATACCAGTAGTACCGCACAAGGCGGTGGCGGAAGTTTCAAAAATAGGAAACCTATAGGAGAGATTGGTTGTTGTGAATCCGGGATGGCAGAGCGAATCCACTGATGGACCGAAAGGTGCTTGAGGTCTCCTCTCTTTCTCTCTCTTTCTCTCTCTTTCTCTGACTATCTACCTACCTACCTACCTATCTATCTTCTATGTATCTATCTATCTATCGATCTATCTCTCTCTCTCTCTTTAATCTAATTACCTATCTATCTATCTATCTGTCTGTCTATCTATCTATCTATCTCTCTCTCTCTCTCT